TCCACAACCATCAAATCTCACAGAACTGGACAGTGCTATGCATCAGGCATGGTGTCAGGTTCCTCGCATCACCTTTCAACATCTCGTGGAGTCAATGCCAAGAAGAATCGCCGCAGTATTGAAGACAAAAGGTGGCCCAACGAAGTACTGATGGGGTGGTCAGAATAATCTGGCCACTCAGTGTATATATTGACCTTGTGTCCTGCAGTCTTGCTGAAGTTTATTAGTTCTAACAGATTTTTCCTTTTTGTGTGGCTTCCTTAAGATTTTCTATATATAAGATAATTTCATATGCAAACAGAGATAGTTTTACTTACTTCTTTTCCAATTTGGATGCCTTTTTAGTTTCTTCTTGCCTGATGGCCCTGTGTAGAACCTTCAGTACAATCTATATATATAAAACCCTAAGCGACCGGTCGACCGTTTGACTGGTCACTATCATGAACACTGACCACCAGGGGGAAGATGCTCAACACAGGAGCTGCCCCTGATGGTCAGTGAGCTCCCACAGTGGGAGCTCCGCTCAACTGATCACCTCTCTCACCTCTGCGGCAGCGCTACTGTAGCGGGGCAGGGTGAGCGGGAGTGGCGCAGTAACCAGCCTGAGCTTGGGCTCTTCCCCACCGCCTGCTGCTTTGCACAACGCTACATACCTCAGGGGATGTCGGACACCAGGTTTCGGCCTGATCCCGGCAGTCCCACATCCCCCGAGGGGGCCCGGATTGTGAGAGGGCACAGGCCAGGCTGAGGGACCCCACTGGTGCACGGATCCATGCACTGGGTCTTGAGTGTTAAATAAAGGTGGTGAGTTTGAATTAGTTTTAAAGACAATTATTTGCACTTACATGTCCTAATATTTATTCATTAGGACAATGAAATGTCTGTAACTTTCTTTGTGAAAGTTATCCAAAAAGTAGAATGAGAGAAGGAATTAAACTTTGAGAATGTCTGAGAACTAGATCTTTAAAAGTGAACTAATTGCTTAATGGGCACCGGGTTTCCTTTGGGGGTGACTGATGAAAATGTTTTGCAATCAGCTAGCGGTGCTGACTGTGAATATACTAAAAATCAGTGAATTGTACACTTTTAAATGGTTAATTTTGTGTTATGTAAATTTCACCTCAATAAAAAAAATGGTATAATGTTCTTAGAAGATAAATTTATAGATTTTCCAAGGAAAAGAAAGTTTATTAAAAGTCTGCTTTATTTAGTGGTTATTGTTTAGCATCTGTTTCCTGGGTATTCTTTCTACTGAGCTACTATTAAACTACATTTTATCTATTATGGGAAATTGAATGTCACCCTTAAAGACTATCCAATTCTATCCCATGAATAATTGATGAGCCTGCAAATAGTAAAATAATCACCTAACTCATATACTCTGAATTTCTGTGGATTAAAAACTTAACCAAGTTTTGACTGTTTCCCTTTTCAGAAGAATACAACTCTGAAATACCTAAGAATGACTGGAAACAAGGTTGAAAATAAAGGTGGAATGTGTTTTGCTGCAATGCTACAAGTGAATTCATCCTTAGAGAAGTTAGATCTGGGTGACACTGATCTGGTGAGTAAATTGGTTATGAAAAAATCACCCCGATAATGGATCCTTTTCCCTGGAAACCAGCATAGAGAGCAGCTAAATGACAGCATTATGAATGGTTAGACTTGCCTCTAATGTCTAATATTGGAGAAAAGGCTGCTTTAAGAAAAAAAAAAAGAAAAAAACCCCAGAAAACCTAGGCATAATAGTGCTTACTTAATAAATCAGATTGTTGTAAATGACATTACAGAAGAATTTCCAGTATAATAAAAATCTTCTTAAATCTCCATCCACAAACCGTCTAACCCGTGTGGGATTTTAAAAGAAAAAGACTGTATTAATTTTAATTAAACAAATACTACTTTATTAGTATGATACAAATTTTTTACTTTTGAAAACATTTTGAAGTGAGTAATTGTTGCCTAAAAACCTAAAATGAACGCTAGCCGGTTTGGCTCGATGGATAGAGCGTCAGCCTGCAGGCTGAAGGGTCCCAGGTTTGATTCCGGTCAAGGGCACATGCCTGGGTTGCGGGCTCGATCCCCAGTGGGGGGGGGAGGGGGGGCAGTGCAGGAGGCAGCCAATCAGTAATTCTCATCATTGATGTTTCTAACTCTCTCTCCCTCTTCCTTCCTCTCTAAAATCAATAAAAATATATATTTTTAAAAAAAGACCTAAAATGATTCCAAAAACTGCTCTGGGCCTTCCACTGGCCTGATGATGAGGTGTGTGGGTTTTGCATGTCTTCAAATTCCAGACTTCATTTTCTCAACATGCTTTCAGACCTGGAGGCCTAATGTTGGGAACCTGTTGTACAGATTAATGAAAATTACTGGGACACAAAAACAATAAGATGGCCCAGGAGGCTCCTAGCAATAATAGGTTCTGGAGCTTTAAAAAGTAGTAGATGCCAGTCTGGCTCTGGGAGAAGCATTAATTCAATTTATACCCTCTACACGTAACAGTCACAATCCTAGCTTCCAAGGATACAAGCGTGCATCAAATGTGGTCTCTGCCTTCTTTCATAAAGCCTATATTTAGTTGGGAAAATATCAATAAACAAATAGAGAAAGGTGCTATGAAGATGGCCAAGTACTGTTTATAATGGGGAGGAGGTAAGTTGCATGATAGACGGTTGCCTAAGACCTGAGGAAGTAATATCTAGGAGTCATGAAAGACGAGGAAAAACTGCCTCGGAGAGGTCCATGGCAGAACATTCCAGGCGAGGGGTCCAATATAGAGACTCTGCCAGTACTTCTCCATGTGTGGTGGAGGCAGTATTACTGCTACAGGCTGAGGTCATTTTAATCCTGATGTACATGTTTTGCAGATGCTTTCTATTTATTTCAAGGGGTTATGGTTTTCCATTTACAGTAGTGATACAAAGGTGTGTTTTTTGAGTATATTTTTATTGATATCATTGAGGAAGGGAGAGGGAGTTAGAAACATCAATGATGAGAGAAAATCATTAATTGGCTCACGCCCCCTACTGGGGATTGAGCCCACAACCTAGGCATGTGCTCTGACCAGGAATTGAACTGTGAACTCCTGGTTTATAGGTGGACACTCAACCACTGAGCCACCTCAGCTGGGAGTGATACAGAGTTTTAAAATAAAGTGAAAGAGTTGATTTAATGGAAAAATGTTAGGTAAATAGTAAAACTGTCCAGCCAGAATGGCTCAGTTGGTTGAGCGTCATTCTATGCACCAAAAGGTTGCAGTTTGATTCCAGGTCAGGGCACATACCTGAGTTTTGGGTTCGGTTCCTGGTTGGGGGAGTATGGAAGACAACTAATTGATGTTTCTTTCTCTCCCTTTCTCTCTCTAAGCATGTCCTTGGGTGAGGATAAGAAATAATACTAAAACTGATGTTCAGATTGATGGTAAAATCATGAGGGAGGAACATGAATAATGAAATATGAAGTCTGGCAGGTTTTAAGAACTGAAAAGACAGTGGCTGGACAGGAGTTTAAAGAGTGCCTCACAGTGAAGGTGGAGAGGTTTATAGGGGCCAGTTTCAACAAAGGTTGTGTGGGTTGTAAATGTGGGTCATGGGAAGCAGAGGGGATTTTATTATAAACTAGAGGCCGGTGCACAAAAATTTGTGCACTCGGGGGGTCCCTCAGCCCGGCTGTGCCCTCACACAGTCTGGAACCCCTCGGGGGATGTCCACCTGCTGGCTTAGGCCTGCTCCCCAGGGGATCAGGCCTAAATTGGCAGTCAGCCCAGGAGCCCTCAGGGGATGTCCACTTGCCAGCGGGGAGTAGACCTAAGCTGCAGTCAGACATCCTTAGTGCTGCTGAGGAGGCGGAAGAGGCTCCCACCACCACCACTGCTGTACTGGCAGCCATCAGCCTGGCTTGTGGCTGAGCAGAGCTCCCACTGTGGGAGCACACTGACCACCAGGGGGCAGCTCTTGCATTAAGCGTCTGCCCCCTGGTGGTCAGTGTGTGTCATAGTGACCAGTCATTCCCAGTCGTTCTGCTGTTCGGGTCAATTGCGTATTACCCTTTTATTATATAGGATGCCAGTCATGGAAAGGCCTTAAGTTGAGGGATGACATGATCTGATTGGTGCTTTCAAAAGATCATTCAGGTTTCTCTGTGAAGAATGAGAGGGTGGCAAGAGGAAACCCAGTGACCACATAGGAAGTTATTGCAGTTGTCCACGTGGGCGATCGATGAGGACAAAGATGGGGGTAGGGTGGTCGCCACAGAGGTTCCCTAATCTGAGACATTTTTTAGAGGTAGAATCTGTAAGACTTATTGATTAACTGGATGGGAGGGTAAGGGGACTGGTGGAGTGAACGGAAGCACAGGTTTTATGGCAAAATAGCTGGGTGTGTGTGGCGGTACCATCACTGAGATGGGGAGGATTAGACCGACCCAATAAGGTAGAGAGGGAGGCCTGTGGGAGCGGTGGAAATGTGATGAGTAACCCTTTCCTGCCACGTACACTTAAAGTATGACTATAAAAGAATGCTGGCACAGGATAGGTGTTCTCAGTCGTACAGAGCCCTAGCTGGGATTCACATGTGTATCTGAGGGCTTAGGAGCAAACCTAGAGGCAAACACCCTAGCAGATTCTCGGATACTGAAACTCCCCATGCATGTTATCAATAGGTGTCAGGGCAGGGAGAAAAGAGCATAACAGTTCATTTCTGAATTTGGTCAATCTATAATTCAAGGAGCAGGAAATACTTAAACATTTTTAAGCCACAATTTTCATTTATCAGATTACCAATCTTGAAATATTTATTTATAGGGAGGTTAATTTATATATTTTGTCAGTTTCCTTAAAGAATTTATCTGTTTTTAGGGAATGCAAAGTGTGATAGCATTTGCTACAGTCCTAACTCAGAACCAGACAATTAAAGCAATAAACCTAAACCGACCTATACTGTATGGTGAGCAGGTATGTATCCCGAGTAACTAATTAATATTACCACATGTGAATGAAATGAAGGTACTGCTTACTGAATGTTATGTCAAGGTTCACAAATGCATTGTATTTCTAGAATGTAAACTACTATTTATAAAAAAAAATCTTTTAAAGGAAAATATTCTTGATACGAGTCTTAAAGCTAAATATGTTTTAAATGTTGCTTATTTAGGCAGCAAACATATAATTTTTTTTCTCTTCTCATAAACTCAAATTCTCAGTGAGTAAACCTGTGAGGGGCAAAGTAGTTACAATGAAAGAATAAAAGATGGGCCGAAACCGGTTTGGCTCGGTGGATAGAGCGTCGGCCTGTGGACTGAAGGGTCCCGGGTTCGATTCTGGTCAAGGGCATGTACCTGGGTTGTGGGCACATCCCCCGTGGGAGATGTGCAGGAGGCAGCTGGTTGATGTTTCATCGATGTTTCTAACTCTCTATCTCTCTCCCTTCCTCTCTGTAAAAAAATCAATAAAATATATTAAAAAAAAAAAAAAAAAGATTGCAAAAAAAAAAAAAAAAGAAAGAATAAAAGATGGAAGTTTTAAAGGCTGGACTATAAGGCGGGTGTGAACTGTTTTACTGTTTGTTTTTGTTATATTGCGGTGACTGAACCATTACATCTTTGAAGTCATGAGTAATCATGGCAGAATGCGTGTGCATAGCAGTCTGGGAAGTCCGGACTTGCTCCTGTAGGTAAGCCGCATGCTGGAGACACACAGATAAAAATGTGGTTCCTACTTTCAAGGTTTCTTGCCCCTTAACATTCTTTTAGGTGGTTTTCCTTTCTTGTCAGTTGTAAAAAAGTAGTGAACAAGAACTCATTTTATTATTGGTCTAAACCAGCCGTGGGCAAACTACGGCCCATGGGCCAGATCCAGCCCGTTTGAAATGAATAAAACTAAAAAAAAAAAAAAAAGACAGTACCCTTTTATGTAATGATGTTTACTTTTAATTTATATTAGTTCACACAAACACTCCATCCATGCTTTTGTTCCGGCCCTCCGGTCCAGTTTAAGAACCCCTTGTGGCCCTGGAGTCAAAAAGTTTGCCCACCCCTGGTCTAAACAAAAACAGAATATCTACTAAAAAAATTTTCAAAGTACTTTGTCTAGTCTTTAAATTATCTATGTCATTCTTCCCCATTAGTATGAGTCATTGAGAATTAACTATAATATTTTTAATATTCGTGTTTTTGCATTCTTTGTCTGCATAGATCTCTCCCTTCGAATCATTTCTGCACTTTCTTGTATCAAAATTTTTGGAATTTTACATGTTAATTGCTTCGCGTACATAAATCTAATCTGTTTAACAAACACAGAATCCTCTAATACAAGCACCCTTCTTTAAAAGACCAGCAAAGTATCTGACTCAAAGTAAGCATTCAGTGAATTGCTTCACTGGCGATTCATTCATTCATTATAAACATTTGCCAGGCTGGTGTCCTCAGTGGTTGAGCATCGACCTATGAACCAGACGGAGGTCACAGTTCGATTCCCAGTTGGATCACATGCCTGGGTAATGGGATCCATCCCCAGTAGGGGGCATGCAGAAGGCAGCTCATCAATTATTTTCTCATCATTGATGTTTCTGTTTCCCTCTCCCTCTCTGAAATCAATACAAATATATTTTAAAGTCACCTTTAAAAATAAACATTTGAATGCAACCTTAAACCAGACACAATGCTGGATGCTAGAATAAGAAGTCAGACATACACTCAGCCCTTGTCTTCAAGGAGCTTTCGTCTACATGGGATGAGATCAACAAGTTTGGAGGGTGTTATGGTTAGGGGACCTTGGGAGCATGAAGAAGGGCAGCAAAACCAAAAGAGAGGGACAAGAGGTAGCTGGGAAGGTTCTCAGATTGAGGGCATGACAGATCTGAAGGCTAAACATTTTCTGGATTAAAGGACCCAAGGAAATAAACGTTAAACTCTATGAAATCATATTATGTTGAGTGGCCTCGTTACTCCCCAATCCACCCCAAAAGAGTAACTAAAAGCCCAGGCCCTTCCTCTGCGTCTGGAGCTTCTGGGCAGTCAGCTAAACTCTGCTTTCTCTTCCTCTCCAAGTCAGTCCCCGCCCTCTCTCACTGAGCACTGCTCTCCTCCTAAGTGGCTCGTGGGCCTCACACGTTGCAGTTCCAAAATGTGAACCTGCAAACTGATTCCATTTAAGGAGTTTACTGTTCACTATCTGGGGAGCTTAGACAAATATCTATGCCAGGTGCCACCCTAGGCAAATTAAGTCACAAACTTAGTGAATGGGGCTAAAAAAAAAAACCCTTTACTATTTCTGACATTACTCCTCTCTTTCAAACTTCTTGACCTAAAAATGCAATCAGGATGTAAACACAAATGTGTTTTTATATGTCCTCCATTCCAGGCAGCACACACAGCAACACTGGACTCCCTAGGGCAGTGGTCGCCAACCTGGGGTCCGAAAGGTTGACAACTGCTGCCCTAGGGGGTCAGTTTGCATTTCTTAGGATGGTAACTACAGCTTCCCCTTGGGTATATCTTTTCATTGTCAAAACAATAATACAAGCAAACCAGATACAGGATTATAGAATATTGAAGGAATAAATGCTTTGCAGTTTTCTCTAGAACTTATTTTGTGCAGGTACTTTATTTAATTTTGGTGGGAAGTATAGTATCACCTATTTAACAGAAAAGGAAACAGACTCAGATGAAATAATTTGCCCAGTCATATAGCTAGTAAAAGGTAAAGCTAGCATTTGGACAGTTTTATTATAAAGCTCATGTGCTATTGCTCTGTGGTTCCATTTAACTTTTAAAGTTTTTCTTAATGCACATTTACATAATTAAAGCATAGTTATCATATTTGTGGTCAGCATTTTTAGTGACTATAAAACTTACTAAAATACAACAATCATTCAAGAGGACCAGAAAATACTTGGGTCCATTCATTTTAAGATACATTTTGATTCTATTAAAACTTTGAAATGCTTGGTATTCAAATCCTCATTGAAGTTAGATACCCTTTGCTTGGGAGCAGCTATATTTTGGAATTAAAAAAAAGTCTTCCAGTCCTAACCGGTTTGGCTCAGTGGATAGAGCGTCGGCCTGCGGACTGAAGGGTCCCAGGTTCGATTCCGGTCAAGGGCATGTACTGTGGTTGCCGGCACATCTCCAGTGGGGGGTGTGCAGGAGGCAGCTGATCGATGTTTCTCTCTC